CTGCTGATCTAGCAGTAGCCTGCAGTGCTGCATTTAACCACTGCGCCACCTTGGCTCAGTATCTCTCAGGAAGGAGACAAAGAGAAACCTTGCCATGAAAAACTTCAGGGATTAACTAACTAAATATGCTGGATAGTCCAGTGGTGGGTTTCCATTTTTTTTACTGCTGGTTTGCTTGTGTGCACGGGCACTAGCGCAAAAGCATCTGGGCGGAGCGTCTGGCCACTGCCACTACTGGTTTGCCCGATCCAGGTTGAATCGGCAGAAACCCACCTCTGGGATAGTCCCCATCATTTTTTAAGCTCCAAAAATCAGATAGTTGCAAGCATTGACTAATCAGTAGGTCTGAATTGCTATTCTGTGGCTTAGTTATAGCCATGGGTTGATGAAGGAAGCTATCCCAGAAAACAACCAAGAGAGCATCAAGGACATTTCCCCCCCAGTTCATTTATGCTAAATAGGATAGATTAAGAGGTCTGAATGACATGGTGACAAGGACCCATAGGAAACAGAGTTAGGGTGCTGCTGCCAGGTAGCAATGGAAGAATTTCCTTTTGTTCAGGAAGCCAGCCAAACATGTCAAAAAGAAATCATAGAGAGCTGCCTTCTTCTGAATCACGCTATGCCCACTTAGTTCTGCCAATGATGCTGGGATGGGGAGAACAGCAAAAATGTTGACAAAGGAGCAGTAATGCTGCAACAGTGCAGAAAAGTTGACATTTGATTGATTGATGACATGCCATTAAGTCATTTTTGACTCCTAGTGTGACTCCTGCCAGCCATGTAAGACAGATGACAATGACATTTATTTCAGTTTTATTGCTGGTGAATGTTAGCAGCTCTCTGATGTTTTAGATAAATTATTCCAGACCCATCTTCAAATATTAAGTATCAAGGGGTTAGACCTTTCCCATGCATAGTATTTACCACATTAGTTCTTTCCACGTCATTATGATTGAGGAATAAGCTGGTTCCAGGACTTACAACTCCAGCTCGTCTTCCTTTATGTGAGCTATTTATTGATATAGACTCTGCCCAAGTTCAGAAGAAAAACTATTTATCATACCACAGGATTTAACTGCTAAAGAACAAGGTCAACTTCACATTCCATTTTCTCCACTGATATGAATAGCAGACATTTCAAACTCCTCCTGACTATCCATCAGCCTTTAATCTTTACTCCTTTTTCTTATTAGGTGTATTAACATCACTCCTTTATTTTTGGATGTAGATGAATGGGGAAAGGTTGAAAGTATTTCTCATTAAGGCCATTTCCCCTATTGGGTAGCATTAAGCTTAAGAGGCTAAAACAGTTACTGTATTGCCAGTGAATGCTGGCTAAGTGCCAGCTCAGCCCAAGGACAGGATATTTAGAAACCGGGCTTTCCAGAAAAATAAAAACATTGGTTTCCAATCTATGCCCCTCTGGGTGAAATTAGACTTTGCAGTTTAAAGAATATATTCTGTAAGTATGCAAAATATATGCAAAATATCCAATATTCTTTGAAGAGCTTTTTTCTGTAAACAGGTGCATGAAGAAAAGTGGAACATAAATAGCAATATGTGTCTGCTCTGGATCAAAAGTAGTTAAGATGTGTTGTAATGTGTGATAGGACAATGGTAGCAGAACCCCAGACACAACAAAACCCCTATGATTTTGGCACAATATAAAATAGCTCCTTACTGGTTACTTTGATGATAAAAAATGTTGCTGCCCTCCAAACTAACTACACCAGGATTAGAAATGGGGGAGTGAAGGGAGGAGGGAACCAGGGACATGCAGATAGTTTGATAATTTCTCCAAGTTGGATAATTGGCTGTGCTGGAAATACGATTGTAATAAACAGGGATGTGTTTGTGACATACTGTGGTTGAAGTCCACAGCTTTAGGACAAGCAGGGAGAAACTGGAAGGAATGTTAACATCAACACAAGGAGAGTAACAAACAACCAGTGGGTGAGAGACATGCTTGAACCAGATGCAATTTTAATAATAAACGAATTAATCTCTGCGTAGAATCCCATGGGAAAGGAATTCACAGCCAGACAAGCAGGGAAATAGGGACTGGACCAGAACAGGGTTTGTGCTAGAGCAGTGATGGCAAACCTTTTATCCACCGAGTGCCCAAACTGCATGCGTGCATGCCCAAGGTGAAAATGTGTGTGTGCATGGATTCATGCATGCGTGAACATGCACATGCACAGCAGAGAACCAAAGACCAGCTGGCCAGGGGGAGGCGGGACAACACAGGCAGCACAGCAAGAGGTAAGATCTCTTTCTTTTGTGAACTTCTGTTTCGTCATTTGCAGGAAACAGAAGCTCACGAAAGAAACGCCATGAAGATCTGACATGGGGGGACAGCGAGCATGCCAGCAGAGAGGGCTCTCTGCTCTCTACCATAGGTTCACCATCACAGTGCTAGAATATTGTTTTCATCCGAGAAGGAATGAACTACAGGCTACAGACACTGCATCTTTGTAGTGCCTAGAACTGCCTGAATGAGAAATGGGTAGCTACTTCCCATGGTACAGAAATCTTAGAATCCATAGAATTTAATTAATGACATGACATGAGCCTCCTGGAACAATAGTCAAAACCAGATTTCAGTATCTGATCATCCTTAAGGGAAGGAACACCAGACTGTCCTTTTGGTGCAAGGAAGGTTATGTCCTCATTTTAGCATGATGGACAAAAGTCTTCTGAGTCCCTGAAAGTGTAGATTTCTGAAGAAGTTTCAGTAGATAGCTGGCTGTTGAAGAAGTACTTGCAATGAAGACTTCAGAAGTAACTGTTCTTAAATGAATGCGCTAAATATCCCTCTAGTTTTTTCCCCGTCAAAACTCCCTGATACTTTATGTCAGTAAATTTGCTACAATGTATTTGCTTAAAATATAAATTTAGAACAAAATTATGGTTTTATGTGTTACACTGGGTATTATAGAAATGGATTCAGGTTCTGTATAGAATTTGCAAATTAACACTCTGAACAGAATTTCAGAAGCAGAAGTTTTAGATACAGTTGAGTGAAAGAATGGAATTATATCGGCAGGAATTCATTTTAAAAATTGTGTTACAATTTCAGAACAAAGAATTAATAATATCATCCATCAAATACAATAAGTAAACGTCATGCCTTTATTTCCCACTGGCAGCATGAACTAATGCTAGGAAACAAGAATGGATTTGAAAGTTTCACTGTTCCAAAACAGATTAATAAACCATATATCAAAGCCGCATAATGATGAGTTAGGGGTTCGTGGCATGGATTTGTGCAATCTCCAACATATTTGCAGAGGGCACCACTTTAAGAAAACTTGTTTGTGTTATTTTCTTGATAGTTTTTAGAGAAAGCAAAAAAAGACTAACATTTTGATTAAAGTCTTATTAAAGTATCTTCCAGGGCAGAAGCTGACATCCAATGTTATAAAATGTGGGTGACCAGGAATTGTGGGCTTGTTTGCTATTTTATACATATTTGCTGATAATATATCTAGACAATATAACATTTCATGCCAAATTTATCAGTATCTGAGAACCACCAAAATTTACCCCTCTGTTTTTCCTCCTTCCTTCCAGCTTGTAACTGCAACCTGCATGCCAGAAGGTGTCGTTTTAACATGGAACTCTACAAATTATCCGGTCGCAAGAGTGGGGGTGTTTGCCTTAATTGCCGACACAACACAGCTGGTCGTCACTGCCACTATTGTAAAGAAGGCTACTATCGGGATATGACCAAACCTATCACGCACAGGAAAGCATGCAAAGGTATGTGTATCATAAGACCAATGCCCACAAAGAAAGAACAGAAGGAAACTGCAGGATTACTCCTATCTTTTATCTGTAAGATCTACAAATGTTTTTCTTCCTGCAGCTACCCTTCCATTCCTAATGATTGATTATCTGGGCATCAATCTCAACATTCCCATTTCTTTATTTACAACAATCTTCTCATCCATTCTATCTGCCTTATTTCCACGCATAATTGAATATTTACAAGCTCCAGTTGGGAACATGGAAGTGGAAGAAAAGTGGAACCTTAAGGTCCCCTCTCACTTTTCCCCAAGCCTTTTTCTTGGGGGGAAGAAAGTTGTTTACTTTCTCATTTCATTTACTGAGCTATAGGATAATTGGAAACACTGGTTTTTCTCTTCTACGGGAAGTATGTGATGTACAAACTTGTGCAATCCTCTCTAGACCACTCCTTCAGTTTTCCTCTTTTTTGTTCAATTGGTCACTTCTAAGTGAGATGGTTCCAATAAATAAAGTCAAACAAACAAACAAATAAATCAGTGTTTGGAAGATAGAAAATTTAGCAATATGAGAGAACGAGCTGGGAAAAGGGTTGCTAGAGAAAAAGAGGTCTGGGCAGTTTAATCCTGGAAGTGCCATTTGTCTGGACCATGACCTGTGTCCAAGAAACTGTAAAGGTTTCAGGACTTAAAACAAAAAGATCAGAAGTCTGTTTTGTTCAACTTGTCCCAGCTTATCAGCCTTCTTTCCTCTTCTTTCCCCCTTCAAACACACAAGCACAGACACACATATATAAATGTTGAATGGCTTGGAGCAGCTATTCAGAACATGTGTGACTTGTCAAGGAAAAACAAAGACATGGAAAAAGGGACCTCAGACCCTGAAAGAAGAAAGACAAAGGTGTGAATGGATTGTTGAGGTTATTCAGATCAGCAAATGGGCCTCTTACATCAAAAACAGGAGTTTGCCTTCCCTCCCCTTTGCACAGGTGTGCATACCAGCAAACACTAGGGTTCATTCACTAGGCTTAGTAATTGAGAGGACAAAGGGTGTTCTGCCAGTATACGCAGAAATCTACATACGCAAGGAGAAATATTAAATCGTTAATATAAAACTTTGTTCTCTCTGGGGGGGGGGGAAACCCAATTTAAACCATTCAATGCAGATTATGGAGAAACACCAAAAAGCATTTAAAATCAGGGAGTAATTTGATGTAAGAATCTAATATTTCAGTGCTGTTGTAACTTCACTAAACACTCTCTTAAATGAATAGTTGTAATTTGAAAGCTGCCAGTACCACAGACTCGCTTCATATCTGGTGAAAGAAAAACAATGTAGACTTTCAAAATTATTGCATCAATGCAAAAAAAAGTATTTCACTGTCCATTCACCAAATGTCTTACTGTCATCATGCTTAATGACTAGATACTAAGCATTCAGTGTGTATTTCTTAGAAGAATATATTATCAGACGTAGCCTGTATTATAGGCAAGAAAGTGACCATTTGAAGTGAATATGAGTATATTTCATTGCCGTCATATCAACCAAACCATCACAAAAAAATGCACTGACTATGAAATAATGAATACCTGCCTATGCCTGAAATTAGCCCAGAAGGGTGGGCTAAATCAGGGTTTCTAAACTTTTTGCCATCATTCTTCCATTTAGTATATTCTTAACATACATGCCTTCCTTAACAACTCACACACCAAAATGAACACAATGAAATGAAACACCGAGAAAGCTGGATTTATTGAAACAGTGTTACACTAAAGGGTTCTTCACACTTCAACCCTGGACTAGATGGTCCTCAATGTCCTTCCCAACCTTAAAATCTATAGCTCTGAGAAATCAGAAATTCTGTCAGTCAGGCCTTTATAGTTTTCTGTCAGTCAGACCTTGCATAGTTTTGGTCTATATATCTGCTTTCACTGCCTCTCCATTGTGGACTCTCTTGGGGAAAATTCTTCAAGCCTGAATGCATTGCTACCTCTATTTAAAAGCATATTGTTTTCTGTCCTAACTGCAAATTAATACAAGGGTGAAAGGGGAGAAGGAGCAAAGGCCTGACAGAAAGAGTGAGGTAAAGTAATTTGCATGTGGTGACTGTATACCAGGAAAGAAGCAAGCAAGACATCCATTGTACATTCAGACCTTCTTGGAGATTTCTCTGCCCCAGAGCTTTGAGTAGATACTGCTTTCCAGCCTCAAATATGATAGTTGGAATGTTGAAGCCTAAAAGTGAAGTTGAGAGTCCCATGCAATTGACAAGCTGAATTTGGAAAACCTCTGGCATAAATACAGTCTTGTATTATGATCCTATTTATGCTGCCTGGGCTCTTACGGTTTGGGCAGGGCCTTGCATTTTGGTGTAGAGTGTGTCCATGGGAGGCAGCTGTATTGTGAGCCCCTTTCATTCATCTGGTAGAAAGGAAACATGCCCCGCTAATGTGGGCCACTCAGAACTGCCTGAACCTTTTGAATCAACTGGGATTTTTCAGCTGCAGAAGGCTGGGGGTGGGGAGAGAGAAACAGCCACACTCAGCTGAATGTGGGCACTGAGGGGGGAAGGGGAAGAAAAGGCTGCTTGACATCATGGCTTGGCAGCTTTGAGTCCTCAAGAGCAAGGCAGCTCAGAGAGACCAAAGGAATTCAAGCCTGCGGATGGAGGAAAACCACTTTGACACAACAGGCTGGATATTTTTCATGCTGCTCAGCCTTCCTGAAGGGGATAAAATGCTCCTTGGTAAACTGTTGGCAGAGCAGCTACGCACTGAGCAGATATGTTTGGTAATAAGGCTGACACTTAATTTAAGGCTGAGTCCCAGACCAAGGAACAAAAGTTGCTCCCAACAAAAGAAAGCGGGTTGCTTTCCTAATAAAAATGAGGGAGCAAGTAAGATGCAAAGAAAGAGAGGAGGGGGAGGTAATGTTTCTTTTTTTTAATGCAACAATCTGTGAGAATCTCTCCATTATCCCATGTTAGATAATGTGGCCTTGAAAATCCAGAGTTCATTGTGTAGTAGAATGTCAGCAACAAATAAGTAAATAACCTACTATTCTAAGAGAATTCTTGTGCATATCTGCCATCAGCTACTACATAGATTAATAGTTATTTGAATGGGATTCGACAATCTTCCCATTTTGCAGGGATTTATTAATATTATTGGAGTTACATTTGAATACTTTTTTCAAGCAAGGGAGTGTAGCTTAGATTTGGCTTGTATTTATTACACTGGAAATCAGCTTAGGTTCAAAAAGCCTTTTTCTGCTCCAAAGAGCTTGAATAGTGATGTGTTCATTGTTGGCCATGGGTCTTGTTGAACAGCTAGCTGCAAAGGACAGTGGATAGCTTCACAAGTCACACTTTTTGTGTGTAAGAGCCACACCCCCACTGTCCTTATATAGGGCTTACTAATAATACTCTTCTCCAAGCCAAGGCTTCTTGGATTTAATATTTGACCCTACCCAAGAGGTGTAATAAACTTTCAGTTAAGAAGAAACCAGCAAAGACATTTCAAGGAAGGAAACCAGAAGTTCACTTCCTTATTTTTCTAACTAGTGTGTTAAAGTTCTAAAAAGCTATGATGAAAATTTCACTTACAGTGCAGCTGAAAATTTTGGGAACACTTCTGAATGTTCAATATTTTTTAATTACCTTAAAGCAGTGCAGCTTTGGATAATTTTCCTAAATAGATACTGTAAATGATCAAATATAATGTTTTTACTTGTTTGTGTAATTGGGGTTTCTTTATCTATTTTTAGGACTTGTAGGGAGATCATGTTTTAAATCATATTTATGCAGAAATATTGAACATTCATAAGTATTCACAAACATTCCAACACCACTGAATATATTATTTGATGTGGAGGCAAATATTCTGAGAACATCACACTTCTTTTAGCGTGAAGGAAGACTTGAAAATATGGGCAAAGAAGTTTCTGTATTTTTATTTCCTGGAACTGAAGTTTGTACAATGATGCTTTGCTTTTGCAGCCCATAGACATCTAGTTTCCATATCCTCTATTTTAAACATTCTCAGTAAAATAAATTATATAGGTAAAAAAATAATAATCTAGAACTGTTCAGCAAGCTCCATGTTGAAGCTTACAAAGCAGTGGGCTGGTTCACACAGAACAATCAAACTATAATGTGGTTTGCTCTTTACTGCCATAGTGTGATGTGTAAACCCACCATTATGGTTTGGCAAGATATGTAAACCAAGCCACAGCATTTGTTCAACAATTCTAATTAAAAATCCTGGTTTGTCTTACCCACTAGGTTTAACATCAAGAGTATTTGACTTCTAGACAATTTTATAAAACACCAAGACTAAACAATTAAATGTTCTTAGTAATAAGCCCCCATACTCTTTGCTATGTTACCTTTTTCTCTGTTGTCTTCCTCTTTGTGTTAGAGCTTTGCTTTAAAACAATATAAATGATGTTTAAGTGACCTTCACATAAATGGATGAAATATTTCCTACACAATATATTTATTGAAAATTGAGCCTCTTCGATATTTTAGTTTTCTATATGCAGAAACTGAATCTCTGGCATCACATTCTATATTTTACCACCCTCCTCAATTTTAATGAAGCTGCCTAGAAGGTACTTGGTCTCATTTTCAGCTTGTCCTTCTACACTACTACTTAAATTGCATTATTTCCTTCAGGTTTTTTTTTAATACAGCTTCTGGCACTCCAAGTAAGCTTCTGGATCAAAAATGTACATGACGGTTAGAAAACCACAAATCCCTGGGTAAAAACCATCTTAAACGCAGCTCTGTTCAAAATGTATAAAACCCAAAAGTCCAAGACATTTGGCCAGAACTGCCCTTTTGTTTCCTTAAAGCATAAGGAATAACTTTTAAGAAATTACACTGAATGTATTGAATGACTTGCACAATATTTGTTTCATTACAAGGGACTTATTGAAATTAATTTGTTGAACAAAATTATTCTTTTCTAACCCCCTTACTTTCCCCTTCAAAATCCTCAAGAAGACAACAAACC